TAACGTCATTAGTCAACTTTCCCTTCATGTCGAGCAATATTCAAGCATCTCCAACCTATTGAGATACAATGGAGCCATTCGTCACCACTCGCCCCTTTCCGTAACCTGCAAGGAGACTCGTCCCCCTATCGATGAAAGTTATGTGCGAAAATACGACCAACCAATCAGAATGCGCGTATGATTTCAAGTTCTTCGTCAAAGAATCCCTCCGAAAACAAAATTTGATTTTACATATGTCTTGCATCTAAAAATATACCCAAGACAGAAATAAATGTGTTCAATCATACTGTATAATTCCACATGTCCCGATGTGCTTTAAATTGCATCTGAATTATATATGATATATGGGGAAATATATGTGAACCATTACGCAACGAGTTGACAATTGTTTTGGGTATGCCCGTTTGCGCTAAGACGGAACCCGGTCACAAAAATGACCACGAGATGGGCACGAGTCGCTATTCGGCTTGTCCCGGAATAACACGAGTTGGTCACGAATGACAATTGAGCATGTTCTTTCTACCAACGTCATACGACTCTTGCACAGAAGTCTTTTGATGAAGGTTACAACATTCAAGGCCTCAGTAAAGCTTTTCAAAAGTCCAAATTGGACGTATAAGCGAAAAGGTGATATCCGATGCAATTCCTTTTTTTCAGGTGAACAATTGACTTGCCTTTGCATGTGTTTTTACGGGTGTCACTTGTGGGGCAGGATACGCTCACTTTTTCCGAACGCCTGGTTTCATGAATATTTGATCATGATGTAGCCGGAATCGTACCATTAATTCTACTTTTGGCAGATATTTCCTATTAATATAGAAAGGGTTGTGTCGCTTTTATTGTGTGTTCGAATCAAACAAGCAAGATGAACCACTGGTTGATAACATGAGCAGGGATCCACGCAATCAGGGTGTAATGGCACCCTCTGTGTGATGGAATATCTATCTCTAAATACCATCTTCTTTACATCAAAAGAGGGACCGCCTCCGTGGTCTAGTGGTAGGGCGTCCGCCCGGAGAGCGGAAGGTCCGGGGTTCGATCCCCGGCCGCGTCATACCAAAAGACATTAAAAGATGGTACTTGTTATTACCCTGTCTGGCGCTCGGCATTATGAACAAGCAAGATGAACCACTGGTTGATAACATGTGCAGGGATCTACGCCATCAGGGTGTAATGACACCCTCTGTGTGATGGAATATCTATCTCTATATACCATCTTCTTCATATCAAAAGAGGGACCGCCTCCGTGGTCTAGTGGTAGAGCGTCCGCCGCGTCATACCAAAAGACGTTAAAAGATGGTACTTGTTGGTACCCTGTATGGCGCTCGGCATTAAGGTTCCAAAACAAGGACTGGTCGGCTCGGAGTCAGTATACTGTGTTTGAGTGGGGTATTCATGTTAAACTGCGGCATGGTATCTCAGTGAGCTAGCACTATAAATCGTCATCAGTCCGGACTAGTACAAGCAGCCACACAAACACACACACGTACATGCACGTCGCTATATAAGTGCAATAATCTTGGACGCGACGTAAAACCCCATTTCACCTCACCTCACATCAAAAGAGGGTGTTTTTTGTGAAGAGTCTGCGAACTGGGGATAAATGAAACATTTCAACACTTTGGTTTAATCGTTTCATTTGAACACGACCCGTAAAGATCCGGGTTAGAATAGGTCTTCAGCAACCGATGCTTGTAAGAGGCGACTAACGGGATCGGGTGTTCAGGTTTGCTGACTTGGTTGATGCATATCGTCGTAGCCCAAATGCGTATATATAGATGATGTCAATCACTGGATTTTCTGGTTCAGACTCGGTTATTTGCAGACGGCCGTCATATAGCTGGAATATTGCTCGATCCATGCAATTGGGTACGATGACATGCATCAACCAAGTCAGCGAGTCTGACCTCCAGATCCCGTTAGTCGCCTCTTACGACAAGCACAGTCGCCTTTTATGGCAAAGACGTTGTCATCAATACAAAGTGTCATGTTTAAAATGGACACGTTGAACATTTATTTCTTTTCGCTGTCTGTCCATAACATCTTAGCCGTGCCCAGAATAGAATAGTGTCTGCATTAACTTGAAACAAGGAACAGACGGGGGCTGATATCGTCTTTTCATTTTCTTTGAAATAATATAATAATGATCTCAAATGAATTCATAAATTTCAACCCAGACCTTCTTGAAGAGTCTTCTTCATTAAGCAAGTTTTCATTAAAGGAATCGGGGAAATATTAAATAATAAAATTTTCATCCCAAATCTTTAACACAGAACAAAGGCAGTAGTGGTTGAGCTGAAGATCGCGCATCATTCCCATGTAATCTTGGGGTAACCCAGCACCACGTGCTGGACAGGGATATTAGGGGGGAGATTAATCTCTTCCGGATCAACTAATAGCTCTCATGAGATGAAACATCTGCCACACAATAAACTGAACATCGCTGTCTGATTTAATTTTATGCTGAATTTGCATGATATTGCAAAAAATCGGGCTGCACAAAAACAATAGCGGGGAACGATGTTTTTTTTTCATTCCTGATAGGGATCCCAATCGCCTGTCTTAATGACTTCTGAGCCTTACGGAAGACAGCAGGGATAGAAAATATTATTTTTTATGTAATGATTGCTATCACTGAAATCCTTTTGGCTGGTTTAACACCTGTGCTTGACAGACAGATACGGAAAAGAAGGGGGAGGGGGTGTTCGTTGGATGAGTAAGGAAAAGTTTGTTTTTGACAAAACTCTATTTTTTGTTTAGGGGTATTTAGTATCTGTTCAAATAGGCCGGAGGGGGGGGGGGGGGGGGGGGGGGGGGGGGGGGGGAGATCCAGCTTACATCAGTCTAAGGAATGCAATCGAGTCCCTTGTGTATCTGGGGAGGTCTGGTGGCCTAGTGGTTAAAGCGTTCGCTCTTCACGCCGAAGACCCGGGTTCAATTCCCGAAAATGGGTACAATGTGTGAAGCCCATTTCTGGTGTCCCCTGCCGTGAAATTGCTGGAAGATTGCTAAAAGCGGCGTAAAACCATACTCACTCACTAGTGTATGTGTGCGTTCTTTCGTTCTCAAGCTTACGGAAAAAAGTCTCCACCCGTCTAAGCACAACAAACCCAACCAAACCAATTTCCTCGTCATAAGCACAATCCACAAACCAGTCGATAACATCTGCATAACTCATCTTTGATCCCACCACAAAGCTGCCAATGTGTCCATACTACTTACCCAAATACTAATTATGGACAATCGCAGGTGGTCTGTGCATTGGGTGCTGTCTCCACTGATAACACAGTAACACAATACCCCGACAGAGATTTGTTAAACTCTCTCATGTCTCTGTTATCGCTGGTATCAGACAGGGGGATCTTCTGCAAGTTATACATGAATCGTTTCGGCTCTGTTGATCAAGATAATTGATAATTATTGCACTCGTCGCTTTGAAAGGCTGGGACAGGATGGATAGCAAAGCCCGGAGGCTAATTAGACTGACAGCAGTATATTTTTCATGTAGGAACTGAAACGTTAATATAAAAAATCCGAGACATGTTTTTTTTTCATCTTCCTTTGCGTTCTGAATATATAAAAAAAACTCTAGGGAGCTGTAACCTTCTTTTTAAAAAAAATAAAAAATAATAATAATAGTACAAAAACACCCAGGTGGGACAGAGTTCAATGTCCATCTACGGTAAAATGGTAGCACAGTCTACAATATGAAACTAGTATAGCTGGTTCTACAAGGGAGTATTTACACTTTTGCGAACACCTGGTGTCATCACTGATTTTCAGGTATCTATTCATACAATTCTCACCGCTCTGTTGCCTTAAAGGCCCCAATGGAATCTGTTTCGGGTGAAAATCGAAACTGGTTATTATCTCGCATTATAAAATGAAGGCCGTTGTGTTGTATTCGTTGTGGCATTCCATTTTAGCTGTTCCTTTATGTGTGGTTGTATCCTTAAGGTAATGTCTAGTTTGTATCAGGTTCTGATGGGGGACTTTTGTAATTAAACACGGGTTTTAGGTGTGTTGAACAAATACTGGAACGATTCGGCCATCGACCGGTGAAGATCCAGGGTAGAATTTGTCTTCAGCAACCTATGCTTGCCGTAAAAGGCGACTATGCTTGTCATAAGAGACGACTAACGGGATCGGGTGGTCAGGCTCGCTGATTTGGTTAATGCATGTCATCAATCCCAATTGCGTGGATCGATGCTCATGATATTAATCACTGGATTGTCTGGTCCAGACTCGATTATTTACAGACCCCCGTCCTATAGCTGGAATATTGCTGAGTGCGGCGTTAAACAACAAAACAACCAACCTGATATTAATTATAACGTAGATGACTCTGTAAGTTACAAAATACCCTAATTACACAGACACAATGTCTGGGTTTCACAGAAGACACTAATTACAATGTCTTGACACAAAGTGCGAATATGCCCCGGAAATACAACAGAGTCTCCCTTTAAGACACATCCTTATTCACGGAATGGAATACAACATTTTATGAGTCTGAACTTTCCGGGACATCGGAAACAGAAACGGTCCCGTAAATATTGCTAATACATTATGTTTTGTTTTTGAATAAGGGATAACAGCTTGACAAATCAAACGTTCCTGTGAACGGGAACACTCTCAGTGACGTGGGCGATGTTCCCGGGGGATATTTGAAGGTATTACAACGGACTCGTGACCAGGGGTTCTGTAAACAGCCACGGGAATGCCACACAAGACATTCTATACAGACCCACTTGAATTTCAGTATGGAATTTTTATATTGTTCAATACCTCTCAAGACTCGGACGCATAGCCTTCGTTCACGAATTTTGATTTAAAAAATCTTCAAAATCGAGCCGACGTTAAGCGAAGTTTAACGCATCGGGAAATACAACAACATTCAACAGGGCTATCTGAACAAATTACATGATCCTTATCTGGAAAAAAATACAACAGACAACGCATGCCTTCAGCTTTCCGTCAATCAGACTGCACTGGCATAACGCACGGAGCAATAAAGGACTATTTTATTGAGTCAAATCTCCCCAGGCGAATCGATACTGCGAGCTATGCGAGTTATTCGTCTTCGTATGCTCTACTTCCTCTCGCGCACAACTCCAACCCGCCGTGGAAAGTGTTCGTGCTGTTTGTTGTCGTTTGTCGTCTGTCCAAATCATGTCGTCTGCGCGCCTGACAGCAGACGTGAGTTGATGTAAACACCGCCTCCAGGTTCTGTACGTGGTATATCGCCCCTGTTGCTGACGGCTGGACGTTGTCCGTGTTAAACTGACCGATCTGACTTACTGAAGGTCTGTCAAGTCGATGGATATACAGTGACCCTTTGCTACTGTGACTAATGAACTTAGCGTACACTATCCGTGTAGAATTTCACGAGTAACATTTTCTGTGATCACCGGAGCCTGGCGCAACTGTCTTCAAATCACCACGCCCACGTTTGAGGTGAGTGGGTTTCAAAATTAGATGAGATTCCTTTTTAAAATAAGACTTAAAACATAATCGACATAGTTAACATTCTCAAGCCTTTTAGTCTGATAGTGTACTATCAATATACTTATACGATATAATAGTCTAGTAACACTATACGTTTAAACAATAAACATTTATTTACAGTAATAGGTGGAACGAAATGATATCATGATACATTTTATATTTTTTTTATGAAAGAAGAGATTTGTACGCGTTATGTTGTGCCCGATCAGGTTACACGTCTCATGAATATTCTAGTTCCAAGAAATCAGATATTTAATGTCATTTATGCAGAAGAAACGCCGCGCAGTAGTCCAACTGAACAGTCAATATATACACTGACATAATATACAAAACATTATACACACTAAATTCCACAAGGTCGGCGTTGCGTTAATGTGAAGTCAAAAACCCAAACCAGTTTTAAGTTGTAAGGACATGGCGATAGTAATCACGACGACAACATGGCCTTCGGCTTCAGACATAGGAACCATCCCCAGGCATGACGCATGTACCGCTCTCAAATCATATATCTATTTTTGAAGATCAGTGCACAACTGGATGCAAGCTGTCAATCATTCGACACAATACATTCCTATATATCACGGCAGTCCCTTTCTACTAGTTCACAAAGCTTGCATTGTGCGAGATTGCAGTGCATGCTTATTACATGCTCCAAGCCGTGCTTCAGCGCTTGATTGACATGCACGAGTTTCACATGGACATAATGATGTCAGTTTCACATAATGTCGTTGTCAATAGCTGTGGGTTTTAAATCGGTTTTTGCTGAGAGGGTACTTGGCATGTTTTTTTCGTTTTACGTCACAGTCAGTGACAGATTCCAGGTGGCAATCTTAGCGTCTGGATCGGGGAAAGGTGAACTGGGATTAATTTTGTTTGTTAGTGTGTTGTTTAACGCCGCACTCAGCAATATTCCAGCTATATGACGGCGGTCTGTAAATAATCGAGTCAGGACCAGACAATCCACTGATTGACATCATGAGCATCGACCCACGCAGTTGGGATCGACGACATGTATCAACCAAGTCAGCAAGCCTGACCAGCCCTTCCCGTTAGTCGCCTTTTACGACAAGCATAGTCTCCCTTTACGACAAGAATGGGTTGCTGAAGACCTATTCTACTCCGGATCTTCACGGGTGGAACTGGGTTTAACGTCGCGTCGATTATTTAACTTATACAGCGACGTGCATGTTTGAAAATAAAATTCAGTTCTTTAGCTTTGCAAAATTAATGCTGATCTCAAACCAAAATCCCAGAAAGGAAAGACTTCCGCCCGTATCTCCCTCCAAATGTTTTATACCTAAAACATAATAAGTTAAATCCAAATGGAGCCCTGAACAATATTTAATATAGAGTTGAGGCAATCTAGATTTGAGTTGGATTAAATTTTAATATATTCTCATGGGTCTGGGAGACAGACTTCATCTGTAACTGTGTAGAGTGATCGCAATATGCAATATGACATGCTATGACAACATGCCCAGATGTACATATCCCGTGATTGACAGCTGTCTGACAGGGGAATGTAAACACGCTTGATTGTGATTTCATCAGTATTGGATCTCGGTATCGCCACACACGTGTTGTTACAGTGCGGGGAATGCGAAACACGCATTCCCGGTAGCCGCGCCGATGTTCAAGGTGACTGGGTTCTGTCTACTTGAATTGAGAAGACAGGTGGCGGCCCATTTCTCGTAGGCTGCGATCGGAGCTCGGTGTCAAATGAAACCAAATATCAGACAATACGAAGTTTGTGTGTGAGGTGAAATTAAGTCACGCAGAAATCAAGAGAATGTGTTGATTTCGGAAGTAGACGCGCAACACTGGTAATCAAGTAGTCTGTCTCACAATGCCTGAACCACATTTATTCACATCCATCCTGCCCTTACTGAAATACTATCCTATACCCCGTACCGAAGCAAGTCAGCACCATGACTGTAGTTTGGTTTGGTTTGTTGTTTAACGCCGCACTCAGCAATATTCCAGCTATATGACGGCGGTCTGTAAATAATCGAGTCTGGACCAGACAATCCAGTGATTAATATCATGAGCATCGACACACACACACACACACACACACACACACACACACACACACACAGAGTTTATATGTAGTTGCTTGTTTAAGTCAAAATCATGTATTTTCAGAGACTTAGCGTCAGCATACGAGGTTTAGTAACACAAATCTTACGACCCTGTGTCGTAGAGCCATCGCCGTAAAACGAAGTATAACAAGAAGGACGTCGACCCTACTGAGTGATAGATCCCCCCCCCCCCCCCTTCTCCAATACCGTGTAGATACTCACTAACCCAAATCTGCACCATTCATCAGGTCCTCTGTCACACTCCGGAAGTAGGAAATTGAGCCTTTTTTCGCAAGCGGAGACATCCAAGGGAGATAACTATGCCCTTTACGTCAGTGATTCCAGCGGCCGACGCTAATGAACGCCCTCAGAGGGCTTCTTCGCAAGGTGATGCATGTCGTTATCACGTGTCTTTGAAGTTAACTACCCCCCTCCTCGTACAAAGGCAACAGATTGCCAGTGACACGCTTTTATTATCGTTATCCGTCACGAATCTCGTTCCTGGTAGAGAAGGCCTCCAATATTTCCAGTAGCTCGTGCGGCACACAAACAGTGCACTTACCACCCTTTGTCGACGGGACAGAGATTGGAGGACAATTTCGATCACAGATTTTAGGAATAATTCCCCCCGGCGACATTCAGCGTTAGGAATGACATTTGTGGACAAAAGTGGGGTGATTTATGACCCTTAGGTAGCTTCGTACATCAAAGAGACGATAGAACTGAAGCAGACGCGAGCCCGCTATCTAAGTTTGGTCTAATGGCCGAAATCGGGCTATCTATTAAGCGTTACGTTAGTTGCCTCTAAAATGTCCCTTGTCGCCATGGTTCAGTGAGGTGGGCATAGGTGGCCCTGTCGTCCATGGCGTCGTGGTTCGCCTCAATTAATTTTCTAGTGAGTGAGTATGGTTTACGCCGCTTTTAGCAATATTCCAGCAAAATCATGACGGGGGACACCAGAAGTGGGCTTCACACATTGTACCCATGTCGGGAATCGAACCCGGGTCTCAGGCGTGACGAGCGAACGCTTTAATCACTAGGCTACCCGACCGCCCCGATTAATTTTCTAGGTTTGTCAGCACCATACTCGTGCTTGTGGGTTTCACCGAAGTGGTAAACGTCTGAGACCTGCATCACTTCGCGCTTTCCCACATTAAGCTGACATGCCGTGATATAACTGGAATACTGTTCAAAGCGGCGTTAAATGAACTTTTCAGTCATTTTAATAATGACCAACGCGTAACGGGCCCGGAAACATTCCTGTCGTCCTGAAGCCACTCAATATATCCTTCATATATGTGAGATGAGTTTGAAGATTAGTGAACTTATATAGCGACGTGCATGTACGTGTGTGTGTTTGTGTGGCTGCTTGTACTAGTCCGGACTCATGCCGATTTATAGTGCTAGCCCACTGAGATACCATGCCGCAGTTTTATAGCACACCTCACTCAAACACAGTATACTGACTCCGAACCAACCAGTCCTTGTTTTAGCCCCTTAATGCCGAGCGCCAGACAGGGAAACAACAAGTACCATCTTTTAACGTCTTTTGGTATGACGCGGCCGGGAATCGAACCACCGACATCCCGCTCTCAGGGCAGACGCTCTATCTCTAGACCAGCAATAGCACGACGGGGGACACCAGCAATTGGATTCACAAATTGAACCCATGTCGGGAATCGAACACGGGTCTTTGGCGTGACCGCCCGACAACTCGACCACAGAAGCAATAGCAGTACATATTTTATACGTCCCCAGTGTGGTAGGTCATCTATAACACCACGCTATGTCAAATGTCAATATAATTTGTGGTGCAACATTTTAGTTATTTCGTTGTAAGTTTCCCAAACAAAAACCCTTTGAGAAAAGGGCACGATTGAAAGGTCACCAATGGGAAGCTATTATAGACTTTAACAAGGCAATTTTCCTTTCACTTTTGGAGCCGTGTTTTTTTGTAAAGTGAGCTGACTAACGCAGTTTGATCACGTGACACGGGAAGTTGTGTATTTTAAATTGTGATATTTGTCTAGACGAGACAAACAACCTCTAATCGTTGGTCGGCCCGCAGCGCAAGGTCTGACAACGGTGGCCCATTAAGGTACAGCGGGGGCGGCCGGGTAGCCTAGTGGTTAAAGCGTTCGCTTGTCACGCCGAAGACCCGGGTTCGATTCCCGACGCTGGTACATTGTGTGATGCCCATTTGTGGTGTCCCCCGCCGTGATATTGCTGAAATATTGCTAAAAGCGGCGTAAAACCATATTCACTCACTAGTTTATGTTGCGTTCTTTCGTTCTCAAGCTTACGGAAAAAACCTTTGTTACTGTGCCGTTCCACCACCCTCTAACCCACTCATAGCGTCTACCCGTCTCGCACCCCCTCCCCCATCCCCGACACACACACACACACATACGCACACACACACACACACAACCATACTCACTCACTAGCGTACAGCGCATTAATGTTGTATAACGCGCACAGAGCAATATTTCAGCTCTATGACGGTGGTCTGTAAATAATCGAGTATGGACCAGACAATCCAGTGATTGATTTCATGATCATCGATCCGAGCAACTGGGATACGATGACATGCATCAACCAAGTCAGCGAGCCTGACTACCCGATCCCGTTAGTCGCCTCTTACGACAAGCATAGTCGCCTTTTACGGCAAGCATGGTTTGCTGAAGACATGTTATATCCCTGATCTTCACGGGTCAAAAAGTCATGTGGTAATATACAACATGTAAACAAGTATAGTGCCTTTAGAATATAACATCATACCTCACATGGCACAATGTTCGGAGAGCCATACATACCAACTCACTCACTCATTTAGGCGAGGTGAGGTGAAATGGGGTTGAACGTCGC